GGGCTTTTCGCACTTTTGCTACTTCCCATCGACGTGTCGACCCATCTAGACAGCCTCTTCTCGAGTTGACAGGTTTCATCATGGCTTGACGAGCTTGCTCCAGCTTCACAAGAGTTCACAGGTTTCACCAGAGTGAGACTTGTAAACCGGAACTAGTGAAGCAACGAAAGTGCAAAATGCCCCCCCCCCTTCCCTCCCCTCCCCCCCCCCCCCCCCCTTTGCCGACCTGAGCCGAAAAATATTATATCATGTGTGTGGTTCGTGTACCACGGCGGTTTGGTCGCCTTCCCGGTGTTTAGCTTGAGTTGTTATAGTTCACCCTTGGGTCGTGTTTTTTTTTTACTTTCTCTGGAAACCTGTTTAAATAAGTCTAGCCAATCTACGGTCTTCCAGTTCCATTCAACGCGCGACATGTATGACGAGCGCTTGAAGGCACTGGACTTGCGAACGGGCGAGTGGTCAGATCCCATTTGTAATGGTGTTGGACCATCTGGAAGGAGGAGTCATTCAGCATGTGAGTTATAGATTTGAAAAGTGTTGCTGATTGGATTTCTAACGGTTTTGGCTACCACAGATAGAGTTGATTGTTAACAATAGTTGAAATCGATATTTGATAATAATTGAAACGGTGGCAAGTTGGAGCAACAAACAACAGGAGCAATTCTCTATGATTTAGGGACATATGGTGGAAAAATGTACATTTTTGGTGGATATCTTGGCACTCAGAACATGCATTACGATGATTTGTTCTCGTTTGATCCATCAACGAATCATTGGGAGAAGATTAAGGTAAGTACATCAGTTCTGGCTTTTTTTCTATATTTTAATGTACGGTTGTGTTCGCGTTGATGTTCGCTATGAACATGGGGCTGTTTCTCCCCAGAGAAGAGGTCATGAGACTGTTGAACTTTCTTCCATAACCTTGCCGAAGGCTCTTTATCGCATACGGTTAGAGGGCAGTGGTTATTAGAGCGTGGAAAATCAAAAGAACATGTGGCTATCTCGGAGCGGGCTCTCTCCAGGAGGGGGGGGGTGAGCACTAATCACAGCTGAGATGGAACAGGGTATAGTAGTTGTACGATGCTGTGAAGAAACAGCAGAAAATTGTTGCGATTAAAAGAAAAGAGCGGGACCTGCCCGTGGACCCCTGCTTAAAGGCAGTTGGCACGAGCGATAATTTGGTACTCAGCCCTAAAATGTTAGCAGGGCGCTGTCTAGTAAGAAAACGGCGAAAAAACGAAGTGAAACGGTCGAAAACCGCGGTGAAAAGGCTTCGTGTTCTTGAAAAGCAATTTCGGATGAGTTTACCGCAGGCGTATTGCTGATAAACGCTTCGGTAGGTACGGCTGCATGTATTCTACATCCATACAGCACTGCAGTCGCTTCATACCATTCCCTTCACTTCATATCTTAAATAGCAAATGAAGCAAAGCGAGCATCTGGTAAGGTCGCCCATTTGTGGGCGGCCGGGCGTGGTGGGCGTTTGGATCGGTATGTTGTAGCTTGATAGGGCCTTCATAAGGGTACCTCCCTAGGGAAAACGGCTACGCAGAGCCTGCTCAGGATCGCGGAAATCCGCCTTGCCAGGCGTATAAATCCTTCTCCTCTTTAGGGATTTGTCGTGCCCACTGCCTTTAAGAAAATCTGAATATAACACAACAGCAAAAAAAAAATCGAAAAGTTCTGTAAAAGCCGCGACATGTTAGAGTGCGTTCACACTTTGCCTCAAATGCTTCCGTACGCTAACAACGCTGCTGTACGACCTGACAGCTGACGCATAGTATGAACAAATCCTGATGCAAATCCACTTAAATTGAAGGAAAAAGCCTGAATGATTAACCGTAGTGTGGATTATCTCTGCAATTTTTACAGACATCCGGGAGAATGCCATCTGCTCGTCGCCGTCAGTGCACCGTTGTTGTTGGCAGCCGAGTTTTCTTGTTCGGTGGAACCATGTGAGTATATCTCTCCAATTTCTGTGTCAGAATTACTACTAAGAAATAGATTGGGTTTTCTCCAGATATTTTTATTCTCATCGGAACCAACATTTCGTTTCGATGACGATTATCCTGAGTGTTGGCTTTGATAGTATCCTTTTTACAGTCAAAGTACACTAGTTTCTAACAGTGACTTTGCTATTGACGGGGCTAGGTGATTTGTTTATTGATCGATTGTTTTTTGATCCACTGATTAATGCCATCGTATTGGTATTAATGTCTTGAGTGATGTATGCTGGTGTTGTTTTGCCGTCAGGAAAAGTGAACTTTAGAGACGTAACAGGGCTCTGATAAGAGCTGCTAGTGATTTGCCACGTCATAAGGGGGGAGGGATCAACTTTGATTTTTTCGGTCAGGAAATTTGTCATCAGAAACTGAGAAAATGCCCTCACTCTCTGTCTTGCTCCGTCTCTCATTCAATGCTTCGCTGAGGCTTTTGACGTGAGGCTTATTCTAGGGAAGCGGGAGTGATTTGCAAAGGGCTTGTGGTCAACATGGTCCAGAATACTCTTGGTCAGAATACATGTTTGGCAATAAGGATATTCAAGTTTGGATGGGTCAGAGTAGGGAGTTGACGAAGGAATTCTGGGGTGGTTGAGCCAGAATTCCTTGCGGCAGCTTCTTGCCACAATAGCTGCCGCATTATGGTGATATGATGATCCCAGATTTGTACGATTAGCATTTCAAATGCCATCCCCATCGCAAATCTGACCAAATTTTCCTATAAAGCGAAGGGTAGCCAGGGAAGTAGTCTTCGATATAAAGCAAGTTTTTGAATGTCATGAAAGCTAAACAAACATTGTTTCTGTACATAGTTTTTGGACTTAATCCTGCCAGTTTGGTGGCTTACCTCTTCACTTCGGTATTGCAGGCCCGTGAAGAACAGTTCTGGTTCTCCCTCTGGTCTTGCTGATCTAGCAGATCTGTATGTACTAGACTATGGTGAGTGAGATATTACATACTGCTTTTAGACGGTTATATTTTTGCTATATTATGTGCCTAGTAAGGTGATTTAGTGGCAAAAGGCGCTGCTAAGGTGATGTGACGGCAAGAGGCGGTCCTTACCGTGCGCGTGGTCCGTAGTCAAGTTCAAAGCCTTCCATAATCCGGAGCAGTTTATTTAACGCCATGCTCGTCAGTTGGGATGAAAATCATGAATTGGACGTCGGCTAGCCCCGCAATTGCAGACATTGTCGCATTCAAATGCCCATACAAGTCCGCCCAATGCCCTACGTATCCCAGTATGAGATTAATCTCGGACAATAGTCTTATTTTTGTCCCTATGCCTGGTTAGGGTTATAGAGGCGCATTTTGATTCTGTGCAGGTGTCTCGATCCAATAGATGCCCTGTTCGCTCCCATGGTGCCCTTCAGAGACTGGTTCCCGTCAATCCATACCGTGAAAGTCCACCTACACCGTCAGCGCCTACTGCCCTCTTCGATTCTGTATTTCAGAGATTGAAACTCTAACCCAATTTCAGCACCTTCGTTGAAACATTTGGCAGCTGGTGTGGTACTTCGTCATAACTTCCATAAGGCTTTTGCGGATCACATTCCACGCGATCTCAAGTAAGCATTCCTAATTAATTCTGTTTGCAACAGATCATTTTCTGGTTCATTTGACATTGCTTTATTGAATATAGACGTCACGTGAGCAGTTGATTAGGCGGTCAAAGGGTGCTCGCAGCTGCGTCGCGTTACGACCGCGGCGACCAGCCTGTTTAGCCATTTTATCCTTAATTTTTTTGTTTTTTGGCTGCTTTCTTGAGGTTAGTTGTTCCCTGCTTTCACAAGGTAAATTATGATTGATATTTCATATTGCTGTGAGCAATTAAATAATTCAAAGAAACAATTAAACAAATACCTGGAAAAACACGAAAACACTTCATTACAAAAAGAAAGAAAGAATCCACGTTCTAGTATATGTACTTCATAAAGGCGAAAAATACCTTGGAAAAAAATAAATAATACAGTGAAAGTTAGGGAATGGCTTAATGAGCTGGAAAACAGCTAATCGCCGCGGTCAGGACGCGCCGCAGCCGCGGCTGCGACCCCTTGATCGCCTAAATGACGACAATATCTTCAAACTCCGTAGGTTTTCGTGGAATAACTCGTCTTTTGAGGAACTAAGCGAGGTTCTTAGAGACCCACTGTACACCCACCTCCAAAGACTGTCCGTTTGCGAGATGTATGGGTCCGCAACTGCAGTAGCGTGCACTTTTCCGCTCTTAAGTGCTCCGGAACGGGGCTCTAGATAAGTGACACCCGTGCCGTTTCCATACTCCGCCCGCTCTCTCAGTAGCGGAACACATACTCAGCGGTAAAACAATGAGAAGTGAGAGGACGTAGACAGATAGCGCGTTTGGCTATGGTTAGGCGCTTGGATTGCCGTGCGGTAGCGCGGGCGAAGTGCGAAGATGACAACCGGGTACCGCTAGACTCCATCCTGCAGTTTTGAAAGTGGCCCGCTATAGCTGCGGACCCGTTATTCCCACTCACGGCAAGGAATTACGGAGGTGAGTGTACAGCTTACCTTTAAAAACAGCCCCGCGCTCAAGTAGTACATGGTCGTCCTTCCTTGTGCAGGTAGTTCAGCCCCCAAGCTAGATACTGTCCCACTCTCGCGACTCCACAGTGAGCGAGGAGCGAGCTACAGCCGCTCAAAGTTCTAGTTCTAACGCCCGCTCAGTTGGACCGCCCTACTTGCTAGCTGCCCTCTGACGGATAGCCGCTCAGTTGTTCTTTGTTGGGACGGCGGGCATTAATCGGAACTGCATGTACTTTTTGCTGACCGCGCTCGTGCCCATAAATAATTCTGCTCTCCTTCATCACATTTTATTCATTGGGAGCACATACAGTCAACTGCAACCCATCTCGTAAGGTAAAACGCGTAAAAATCACGAATGATGCAATTTCTGTGGTGCAAAAGCTCGACATGCACCAAAAGCTGCACACTTCACGTAACCCCAAATTCGGACGCCAGGTTTTTGAATTTTTCCTTTTTTCAAGTGTTTTTCGTTCGTGTCTTTGTTGTTTTTCATATTCTTTTCTTTGAATTGGATGTTGTCCACTACTGGGAAATGCCATAAAGCGATTTGTGAGCCAGGGGTTGCCCACGGACCGCAGGGCGGTGTAACTGTAAGGGAGCAATTTTGTTTGTGGTGTTCTTGAGGGCTCTTGTTGCTTTTTTCCTTCATTGAGGAATTACTTATCAGCTACTGTTTCATAATTGATCAGCAATTATCCTTGACACTTTTATCGCGGGAGCTGTCTTTAAGCTGCGGAAGTGTTAAACTTTTGAAACACCCTCCTACATTACTTTTGATTTGTTTTTTTTTATTGTTTGCAGTATTTAAGTGTTCACTTCAGCCGTGAACTTTGGGCGATGACGACTCCGAATGCTATCTCCACTCCGCTCTCACAGCGACATGATGCAACCGGATAACTACCGTAATCGCGGTACTGTAGATGAAAATGTCGAGAGCATGGCGCAAATAATGTCTAACAAGTGACTAACCAGGACGTTGCGACCTGTGCTTGTCGACATCGCTTATAGTATCCTTCCCTTTGATCAATCAATATCGCTTTCTACTGCTCAATTGCTCCGCTTTCATTCATTTCGTTCTTCAGTTCAGCATCATCAGGAACAGTTTCTGTTTTCCATTTTCTTCTTTATTTCATAAATTTCTTGCTTTCATTCTCTAATCCATACTATTCAACTATGAGCTAATTTCTCTTATGATGAGATTCGATTCTTTTTATGGTTATTGATCGAATGATACAGAAATTTCACGTGCATCATCAACCTAATTACTATCATATCAGTCAACATATTAACTTCTACGGAGGTACTTCTACGGCTTGCATGTCAGCGAGGCTCAGTTTCTCTCTATCTTTCTAGAAAGACAGTGTCAGTTGCGTGACGTTGGCCCAACGAAGTAATGTTATTGTTTCTAGGGTTATTGAATACAGGTCAGATAGGCTATGTTAGATAATGAATGTGTCGGATAGTCTCTTTTATTATTCAGTACGTGACTGGCACCGATTCTTCTTCATTCTTGTTTCTTCATCACTAACGTGTATCGAAAAAATCGTGTATGATTGTGTTTTGAGATGTCTAGTCTAAATTGTCTATGACTGTTTTATCGATTTCTAATCCTCCAATCAATATCGGTGTGTCTGTTTACGATTTGATAGTTATCCTCAGTGTATTTTACGGGCACACATGATCTGTACAAATATGCGGTTGGCTCTATTTCTTTTTCAGGAGATTCGATTACTGGCACCGCGTGCAGAGTTCCTAGCTAGTTGACCCGATCAAGCATTTTCGCGTGAAATCGATTAGGTGGTGGCCCTCACGTCCAGTACCGTTTATTTCACGGTCTTAAGAAAAAAAAATTCATAAACTGCTTCAGATCGCGTCCATACTTCGCGAATGATGTGATTCGACTATTCGGTAGATTCAGCGATTTGAGAGATAGTGCGACGAGGAAAGTATAGGTATTGGTCTGAATGCGGGATTGAGTGATTTGGCGAATCTCTAAAATACCAGATCGCTGAGTTGTTCAAATCGCGCTATCGCTCAATCTCCGAAATCGCCAGATCGCCAAATCTCTGCAATCGTTGGCGACCGGCGTCAATCGATACCGATCCACTCCGTTGGCGTGAAATGAAGTGACCGGCAAGTCTGTCAAATCGCAGGATAGCTCCATTTCCGCAGTCGCCATTTCGATTCCCATACTACCCCGTTGCTTGATCTCTCGAATCGCCGGTTCTTCCAGATCGCCTTAGATCCTCAGTCGCAGAGTATGAACGCGGCCTTTTTTTATTTGAAGTCCTCTGGATCACGCTTGGATGACCTTTATTGTTCAATTGTTTTAGTCATGAATCGCATTTATTCATTGGGTGATCTTCAAACCCTGAATAAATAAATGGCATAGGACGCACTCCGCCATGTTCCAAGTGATTTGACGCCAAAGTTCGACGGTCAACTGGCTAGGGAAACTTGCGGGTGATGCCGTGAAATCTCCTGAACATAATCTGACAGGGCCACAACCGCGCACTTCGCTGAAGTCAACCGCGTAGCACCGTTGAGGTGTTGAACACGCAAAATTGAAATGATTTTCAGTTGCGCTATGCTTGAACCTTTTCTAACTTCCATAAAACACCGTTATATATGCTATGTTAGGTGTTTTTTCTCTTTTGTACACTTTGTTT